GCCCCCACGGCTGAAAGGGCAAGCATGTTTGATGTGACGGGGATTCGAACCCGCGACCCTCAGATTGCGAGTCGAGCGCCTTAACCACCTGGCCATGCCGGGCCGATTTTGTAAGGTTGCTCTTAATTAAAATCTTTGTTTATTTTGTGTCGCATCCCCCGGTGGGTCAGCGGTAAGTTTTCAGGCTTTGTGTCACGTATACCGTAGGGTCAGCGGCAAGTTTACGGACTTACACTGCTAAAATAGGGTGTTCGATTCCACGTGGTTAGTAGAGTGCAGATAGTCTATTATGTAGATCTGGGCTAAAAGAACAGTTTTGTTATTTATAACTTTTGTTTTCATTTAATGAACCATTTATCTGTAGTACAATGCTTAGATTATTTTAAAAAACACACAAAACGTTCCAGGTACGCCATCTTCTGGAAACTGAACTCGAGGCATTACGTAATAGCTGGTACAAACGCTTGTCTTATCGTCTCTGTGTCTCCTGTCCTTGTAGAAAGATTTGTGTGCAACATGGTATTCCAGGATGTGACGGTCCTTCATGTCTCCATTTGCTTCCGCTCAGTGAGTGCCTAGCCCAAAAGGTAACAAATCTTTTTTCTGTTGACCCAATAATCTGTACACACACACACAAACATATTAAGGTAAACAAATTTTCTTCTGTTGACCAAATAATTTGTACACACACACAAACATATTAAGATAAACAAATTTTCTTCTGTTGACCCAATAATGTGTACACACAAACATATTAAGGTAAACAAATTTTCTTCTGTTGACCAAATAATTTGTACACACACAAATATATTAAGGTAAACACATTTTCTTCTGTTGACCCAATAATGTGTACACACACACACACAAACATATTAAGATAAACAAATTTTCTTCTGTTGACCCAATAATGTGTACACACACACACACAAATATATTAAAGTAAACATATTTTCTGTTGACTCAATAATGTGTACACACACACAAACATATTAAAGTAAACATATTTTCTGTTGACCTAATAATATCTACACACACACACAAACATATTAAGGTAAACAAATTTTCTTTTGACCCAATAATGTGGACACGCACACAAACATATTAAAGTAAACAAATTTTCTTTTGACCCAATAATGTGGA